AACGAGTGCACAAATTCTATGGCATGTGAAAGGACAGGTTTTATTATGATATACATGTGTATAATACTACTTAGATGTACATATGTATGTATATTCAAACGTATAGTTGTAGTTAGCCGGATAATATATCGGTGCTACCACAAATGGAATTCCAAACCAATCGATTACAACTGCAAACTCTATCTAGACGTTGCTGTAGATGCTGGAGGGCTATGACAGGAACAACGATGAGAGGTCGAAGGGCCAACTGTCACGTGACCCCCTTGGGTCCCTGGTGTCACAACAGTTGTACCGATAGATATGTGGGATGCTCACTGATGTTCAAACCTTCTTGGCATATATCTAAAGGGTACCGTGAAAGACATGTGAAATGTGGCAGGGAGTGAGATGGGACTCCTTTCGAGCTGACTATTCACTTAAAGTAATGCAAACGATGGTTCGTACAAGGTGCATTTTCTTTATAAAGAAGAAACCCATCTATCTGCTCTCACAAAATTCCATTCTACCCTCAAAGAACTCATAAATCGAGCAGGAAAAACTTTCTTATCTCGAACAATGTCTTATATAGCATGATATCGATTCCAAAATCGGTGAAATTCGAGATCTGGAGTCACTAAACACGTTTAGAATGCTGTCACCCTCGTCTTGATCAATGCTAATTCTTGTTTCGCTTCTTTCGGACGTCTTGAGAGTACTGTACAAGAAATGAGTCGTCTGAACCCTATCCCTAAACCTCGTTCCTCGTCTTTAAGTAATATGATATAAGATGAAAACCCTCACTGTAGCTCAAAATCTGCCCATCGATTCCCTAAGAAGTCTTTAGATTCCGTAGAACTTTGAGAAGGAAAACCCAAGGCCCTTGCTGAGGAGGTGTCCCGTAGATAGAACCAGTGCCCTAGATGGAACATTTCACAGCTAAAGTCTCCCTGTTAGCCTATCAACCTACATTCATATGAATTTGGTTCGTTGCAAATTTCCAACACAGAATCTCCATTTATGTAAAATTCTTCTTTGAGCAGACGACAATTCCCTTGTAAAATGAACAAAGAAGTTTTTATAATTTCTGACACACATATTAATCTGTAGTTGGAATCGACATGGAAAAGATTTTAACACACACCATCATTATGGGGGGGAAGTCGCAACGGTGCGGAGGGAGCAGAGGGATATATGTATGTACATATCTTAGCTTTCGATGTGTCAAATTCATTCCACTCTAGCGCGCTGCAGTCGTTGGATCCTGCTCATGCTCTGCTCCTTCACTTGAGCATTTTTCTGCGCCATTTTGACACAGAATCCGGAAAGCCCTCACCCTCACACCCCCACACCCCCACACTCTGAAACGCTCCCATCTCTATCACATCTGCAGTTTGCCAGAGGCAACACATACACACACACGCATACATCTACCCGTGCCCTGCCCCTGCAATTTTCCACTCCCTGCCCAGGGAATTGCAGCCAAGTTTTCCTGCTGCATGCACGGGCTGCCTTATTATGCAAATGTCTCGACTGCGAGGGCCTCGAGATGCGCTCGCATGCCAACGTCATCGATTTATAAGTTATGCAAAAAGCGAGGGCCAGAATTTTCTCACTGCATCCTCCTCTATATCTGTATCTGTATCTTTCATGCCATCGACAATCCAAGAGGCGACTCTTTGACTGTTTGACTACTTTGTAAGCAATGGTTTACTGTTGTAGCTGCCACTTTTGCTGACTGCAATCACAGAATTTAGCAAAATCAATCTCAAACGCTGCCCGAGGTTCACCTTCTGTTTCCGTTCAACTTCCAGCCCCATCGCTGGCTTACTCGGTTTCCAATTAGAGTTCCAATCTCGTTGTATGTATATGCTCTCTGTTGTACCCTATCTAATCAATCAATAGGGTAGAAGTTTTCAGTTCTAGAAAGATGAAAGAAGGATTAAATACTAAATATGCTTTCCTTTCCTCGGAAGGAAGGACAGAAAATATCCCAGTTGTATTCCAGTGCAGGATCCCTGGAGGATTCCTTTCCACCAACAATGATCGTCTAGTGACATTCGTCCACCATGAGACAGGCAAATGGAAGCGAGGCCAAGAAGCAAGTGTTGAGCTCGAAGAACAATCATTACACTACAAACACTTAGTCCCTTTGCGTTTATTAACAAGACGCTGATTTGATTTGCTGGCCACAGAGTAAGGCTTAAAATGAGAGCGCCAAGAGTCGATCTACTATTCAAGACGATGTCGGATTGAAGAACTAGAATCCAAGATGATATGCACTACCAAGTGGGTGCCCTTTAGCAAGCGAGAGCGCGAAAGATCGAGAGAGCGATAGCGAAAGCAAGAAAGAGAGAAATACGCGAGAGAACGGCTGCATAGGCTGCTGCAGTGCGACAGCATATGTATATGTATATGTATGTACATATGTATGTATGTACATATTTATGTGGATTTCAATGTGGTACAATGGACAGTGCAAACAACGAACAATAATAGGTTTTACTCCACGTCTGCACCTCTGACTATGATCTATGTAGTACTGGGCTATATCGGCCAATATAGACATTTATTGTACGTTATATTTGAACGTATTTTATTTAGCTACTGTTTAAAATTGTTCATTCTTAAGATTAAAAGTTCTGTAATGGTTTCGCTACCAAAATTATAAACAATAATTTAGCGATATAAATTAGAGAATGATTGGCTACAAGATCGTGATACAAATCCATCAGAAAGTAATATTGATAGCTCCCCAAAGAGCATTCTCAGCTTCGATCCGGTCTGACCATTTTTCCGTTCCTTGTCCGCTCTTTCTGTCCCCCCCCTCCTGATTGCTTTCAAGCTGAAACAAAGAGGGGAAAAAACTCGAAACGTAACTAGAACAACAGCAGCAGAAAAGCCGAGGAGAATGGGGAGCAACGGAATGGAATGGATGGCAGCAAAAAAATGTAAATCATTGGTAAATATCTTTTTACAATGCGAATTTTAATCAAAGTTTTTTCCGGACGCAGAGCCTCTTCCGCCGCGTCGGGCCGCCAGCGAAGTGAGTTCGATTTGTTATTGAATATCCAAAGAAAAAATAAGAGAACCAAATAAAGCGAAGTGACGAGCTACGACGAGTAGTGTTTTTGTCGATTTTAAAACCCTATCCGGCTTATGGGGCGACCCTCGCGCGGGCAATTAACATGAATTGATTAATTGAAAATTTCATTTCAGTGCATTTAAATGGTAAACTAATAGCTTGTTTAATTAATTAATTGGAATTTTCATTTGTAGCATTTAACGTTTTTGCAACTTACATTTCAGGGTATTAAGCGTTGAAATACAATTTATTCAGTTATAATTGAACAAAATAAATAAGTATTGCTTATAAGTGGATACGTTTTGGATACTGTTTTTCCCCAGGTTGTTTTTTTTTTACAATCAGCACAAGACACCAAAACCATCCACTAAAATTGTATAATTATTAACAAAATAATCGCAAAAAGCGATCATTGGAGAATGGGGCATGCATTTCCTCATTCCCCCGACCTCACAGTTCTGTTTTGTTTATTTTTTTTTTGTGTTTTTTGCTTGTTTTGGGTTCACAGATCCTCCCATTTGCATGGGATTAGCTTGTTGGTTTTTCGGCAAATTCGTTTCGGAATTCCCAAATATCCTTATTCACAGAGGGTCGCCTAACGGCGTTCCCCTACTGGTACTGGTTGTAGTGGGGCATCTGATGATCCGCGCACTGTATTGGCTTTTTTCATATTACAATCGCACAACTCTCGATTGTAACCGTTCTCAGTATCTTTCAATACCAATGACCATGAGGTCCCCGTTCTTTCAACGGGCTTACCCCAAACTTGTTTGTTTTTTTCAAACATTCTTAGCAACTTTTTCAGTTTTTTCAAACACCTTGATTTGTTTATTTCAAACATTCTCTCAACTTTGTTTCAGTCGATCTGCTTCATTTGTTTGCCACAATTAGTGAGGAACGTGGCCAACCCTTGAGAAACTGTGAGGCGCTCGACCGCCGAAGTAATCAGCAAGCCAGCGCTATATATATTCACCTTCTTGCGAATAAAGACTTGGGAATTATTAGGCGAACAAAGCAGCAGAAAACGAACGGAGCGACGGCTGCTACAGCGGCGGGAGGGAGAGCGAGAGAACAAACCGCTGCTGAGAGCAGCCAGAAGAGTGCAAGTGCAACGATTAGTGGTGGTTTTGGTTTGTTTGTGCTCTACTTGATCGGAGAGCGCTGCTGCGAGAGAAACGAATGGTTCTCATCTGGGCTCTCTCGCTCTTTTCATGCATAATACGGTATGGCAAGCAGTGGATACAGTGTTATATGGCATTCTTACATCTGCCAATGTTTTTGCACATCGGTTTTAGTTATTTTTCCATTCCAAGCAAGAAAAATAAGAAAAAAAGAAGATAAACTAAGAAAATAAACTGAAAGTCCATCACACTTGTTGCTTGTCTCAGCCAGGCTACGAACCACCAGCATTTTGTCGTCATGCTCAGCACTCTCCTTTCATAAGGCTGAGAATTCTATGTCCATTGTTTGCTCTGAGCGTTTATGAGTCACACACACGCGCGTATGCACATATTTAAGTGTTTTCTGCGGTAAAATAAATGGTTTGATCTTTTTCGATCCTTCATTCGGGAGGCATGAGTGCACATATGTACATACATAGCTGTGGAATCATGCAGGCTCCTAATACACCCATATACTTGTATACAAATTAATGCGAACTAGGATTTATTTCTGATGAATATTATTATTAATTTTATTACGAGAATATGCAGCTCACAACAAAAGCGTATATTTGTAGGAATCAATATTGGTCAGGGCGGCAGCTTAGTATGAGTAACGGTTGGCTGTTCCCCCAGGGAGAGCCGTTTTTGTATGTAAGCTGAAATTTATTTATATACATATATTGAATACTTATGCCCTCTTTTACGAATCAATGGCGCTAAATGCGTCTTTTAATGGTAACGCAATAATAGATATTAAAATAATTCATATTTAATATTTAATTATCATCGATTTCATCATCGTCATCATGCCAAAAAGGATTATAAATCGATTCGTTGTCAGACATCGATACATCTCTTTCTCGATTTTGACGCTTTGGCGTTCGCTTGTCCCCTGTCGTGATAAACTCGTAATCATCATCAATGGCAACAAAGTATGTGGGAATATTTCCACTGCCTTTAACATAGGTCTGGCCGCGAAAGTTGCACATAATGCCAAATTCACCCAATAGGATAGCGGTTTCCTTGGTCACTTGGATATGTCCGATCATTCCGGTGGAGTCCATACGGGACGCCATATTAACGGGGTGTCCCCAGATGTCATAATGTGGGTGAGAGGCGCCAACGATTCCAGCCATCACCTCACCACTGGAGATTCCGATGGACATGTCTGGGCTGATGACGGACTTGTCATAGGACACCGTTTCATAGACTTTGTTGAGCATCCAAAGGGTTCGCATTAGGTCCAGGGCAAACGTGGTCATCACAAAGACGACCTCTTCGTGAAGAACTTCCGTATTTTCTTCTGCTATTTTTGAAGAGGCTCTACGAACAATCTGTGCCTGTTCCACTAAAAAGATATTAGACACATTTTCCAATATACATTATCCGATTGCACGTTGATTAAGACTAACCTTCTTCCATTAGAGAGTCTCGATAGGTCACCCGATTTTCCAAATCTTTGCTGATGCGACCGGCAAAGTTCACATCCAATCCACATGCTGCCATGTAAGTGCAGCCAACAATTTTGATCTTCTCAACCACGTAATTATCTTTGTAGTGATGCAACTATAACGAGAAGACATAATTACAAATAAATACGAATAGTAAATATAGTATGGCTTACCAATCTATCGAATTCCGTGATGATCTCGTTCAGTAGGCGCAAGCTTCTAAGGCTCAATTCGAAATTCTTTAAAGTAGCAAACATAACGGAAACTATTTTATACTCCTCGTAGTAAAGCTCATGCTTGGCGAGAGATGTAAGGTAGACGTTGACTGGGGAAGAGAGGCGTGTCCGATGATTTTGCTCATAAAACTGAACCAAAAACTTACCAACATGAGCAGGAAGTATGTTATTCAGGAGAATTATTATCGAGTAGTTAGTACTATGGGCATCACGCTGCTTTCTTCTCAAATCCATGCGCCAACTAAATTAATTTAAATAACTTATATTATATATATTATATTATATTATAAATTATATGTATATATAAATCTCGTGCCACGGTGTTTCTATTTTGTTGGTTTGCTTAAATAGGATGCTTGTGAAATAGGATAGCTTAAACAACAGAGGAACGAATCCAACAAGATAACGAAAATGTGCATGTGAGCATGTCGTAATTTGCATAAATCTCAATCACAACAGTCATGAGATGAACTAAGTCAAAAAAGCTAATTGGAGCGGTGCAAGCGCGCTGGTACACTCTCAGGGAAAAAGGCAGACAACACCAACCAAGTACACCGAGCAATATTAGATACAATATTCGAGTGAGAGCCAAATATTATATATACCGCTCATCCGAAAGTGCTAATTGGTGCTATAGACAAAAAATGTTCTTATTTTCGAACATAAGTCAAATGGTTTATTCCCAGATTGCAAAAATTATACCGGTCTATTATTATTATTATATATTCACCTTATTTTTAAGCTGGCTATAAACTGCTCTTAGAAAATATTATATAAATATTAATCATTTAAATGGCAGAAAAAGGTTTGGCGCGTCTTCTAGTAATTATACAAAATTATAAAGAGTTACTCACTTGAAGTTAACTTTGTTTGTGAACTCCGCGTGACGCTCTTTCAAATACAAAGTAACAAATGTGATAATAATGAGCATACAATGTGCATATTCTGGGGCAAAAAAAGGATTAGTGGTCCAACTGTGATGGAAAATGAACTGCAAATGGAAAAATATAACGATCAGATAGGAAATCGTCATCAATAAACAGACAACTATCTTCAAGACGAACGGAATACTAGTGAACGTAAAGCTCATTCCAATGATAAGGGCCACTACATTGGTGATAACCCAGGGATTAAAACATATATTTATATCGTCATAGTGATAAAGTTTACTATCGATGTACATCACTTCGAACTCCTCGTGATCACATCCCATCTAGAAAATAGCACTTCTTTAGGGTCAATGGTTAGTGCCTCAATCGACACTTACCATTATGATGCAGATCACGGAATTGTAAGCACACATGATAAAGAGGTAGATGCAAATGCGGAGGCTGAGGCTCGCTTGGATCTTCTCACTGGTCCGAAATATCCAGCAGCTAAATTTGCCGAATCTCTGCCGATTATTCTCATTATTGCCATATCTAAGCCAGCAAAATTTTTTGTACCAAGATATGACAAGCAAGACGGTCAGAAAAGTTAATACAACAACATCCAACAGTATGGCCTCAAGTAGTACGCCCTCGCCTAGAGACATCAGCTGAATGTAGGCCAGGCTACATCCAATGCTCCAAGCAAGCAACATGCTGTACTTGAACATTAGGTCCGGCGAGTGCAAGTACTTGCACTCTAGGTTGGAATCCCGATAGACCAGGCAGAATTTGGTGACCGCGGTCGACAGAAGGTCGATAGACTGGTTTCGTCTTCTCCAGGAGAAGATTTGTCTGGGGTGTGCGAAATCTGCTTAATGGTTGAATTGTGCTTTGTCCGAGAGAGTTGACACTCACTTGAAACTACTGACTGGCATCTTTCGAAACTCGTGACGCAACTCTTCGTTTATCACATGATCTTTAGTTCTGTACAAATCGGGTCTAGCAGGTATGTCCATGTGAGATAGTGACTCGAACCTCTGTGTGGTTCGTTTGGTGGAATGTGGAGAAGGCTCAGTAGAAATTAGAAACGTGCTGATATTGTGTTTGCTTAGAACGGGATCCTCCAAAGCTGCGTCGGTGCCAGGAATTATCGTATATTCGCTGGGTTCTAATTCGTTCAAAGTACTGGCACTAACATGGACAAATCCCGGCGACCCGGTGGATTCTAAGTGATTGGCAATTGTCACGTCGGTTCCTGCACAAAGGAAGAATCTTGTCAATCGATAATCTTTATGGAATGCTCCAACACACCCCATATATCGTACTGTAGCTTAGCTTCGCCAATGACTCCTGCAATCACACTTCCCGAATGGACTCCAATGCGCATATTGATGTCCACGTCGTTTTCCCTCCTGCAGAATGTTTAAATACAAAGGTCTCGATCAGTAACCATAACCTACCGCACTTCTTGAATGTGTGAGATCATGGACAGACCCAGATCCACACAACTCTTGGCGTGATCTGGACTCGGGCGCATTAGACCGGCCACACAGTAGTAACAGTCGCCCAAGAACTTGATTCGCTGAACCTCAAATTGGGTGGCGGCCATATCGAACCTTCCGTAGAGGTCGTGCAACAGCCTCACCAACTTTTCCACATTCAGGGTTGTCGTCATTTTCGTATAGTTGACCACATCCGCATACAAGATACTGACCTCGGGATGGATCTGAATGGCCATGACATGCTCCATGACGCCCGGTGAGCGACTCGCGGCAAGACCGCGTACTTTTCTGGCAAGTCTATTTTGTATATCGTCTTGAATGGGTTTCGCTATCTGCGGCGGAATGATGCTATGCAGAACTAACTTTTCCTGACGACGCGCATTGCGCAGCCAGATCTTCTCCATTATGTACTGATGGCGGTCCAGGAAGGACGACCGCACTACAATGTCATTCATTACGCGAAAGAACATACCCAGAAGGTTGAAACCTAAGTGGTGGAATATATCCACACTAAACCTGCCGTAGTCTTCGTCGGAGTAGTACTCTTCGGCAACATAGACCCAAAAGTAGGAGATGTACACGACGGACACTGTGACCCCTAGCAGCAGAGCACCCGACATTATGGGTATCGGCATGAACATGTATATCATATAGATAATATAAGTGTCGTAGAATGTATCCAGTGCCCAATCGTGCTTGTAGTAATGATATGTGCCCTGAATGATGTCTGCAGGATGGAAACATGTCTTTTTTATTGTAAAAGTAGAAGGTTGAATATCAATTAACTCACCAGCAGACACCAATGCGAAAGAGGACACTACGGCGCTTGTATAAGTAATCCACGAGTGTCGCATAGCAAGGTTCTCACAGAAATTGACGCTCAAGACAGTTAGAATAATGAATGCCGAAACTATGTATACAGCCACATCAATATAAACTATGTGGGGATGCTGGATAAGGATGGTGGCACCTTTAGCCGTAACCCTATACTTTAGCTAACAATTCCTGCTTGACTTACCTCGCAAGCGAACAGCAGCATTGCGCAGTGGGCGATAGTTATGAGAGTGTGCAGAAGGAGGAACACCCCAAGAAAACTATTCCATAGTCGTGCCTGGTACAAGCGGTACTCCTCCTCCAAGTGCAGTTCCGCACATTTTACCTAGGGATGTCCATATGTATATAGATAAGTGCACCAGGTGTGTGTATTTCAAAGGTTTACCAAAAGGTAGCTGCGCTCCCAAAGGCGCTCTTTGGTATAGTTGTACTGACACACGTCGTCAACGAAGCTCTGCCGAGGCATTCTGTTTTTACCCGTTATTCTATATTTATTGACTACTTCCAAATTAAGTACAAGTATTGAAACGTAAAAGTACAGCGGACTTAAAGCCTACCTGGAATGGAACTAATCGGATAGTATTTGAAAAAGTAAAATCAAGGAAATTGCGAAACCAAACCAAATCAGTTGCATTGAATATTAGAACGTGAATACATAGTACATAAATTGCTCCTCCTCATTTTACTCCACTTGTTCTTGCTCGTTGGATTACTTCAACCGCGTATCCAACTCACCCTCCTAAAAACAATAACAATGGTCTTCAAATTTTCCTTTAAATATTTACCTGTAGTAAGATAGCATTTATTTTCTTTTTCTTATCATTATTACTACGATTCCTGCATATATGTACATACATACACCACAGTTGCCATAAACGTTAAGATCAACCCACGAACTTCTTCAAGCTAGTTTGAGCAAGCTCCGACTCTCTCTCCCGCTCACGCTCTCTCGCAGCGCTACGCTCACAAACTCGCACTCACAAGCTTTTGCTTCGAAAGCACAGCTGGCAAGCTCGTGATCATGGTGATATTATACAAGGTGGTGTATTCGCTCAACGCGCTGTTCAAACCATAAATAAAATATAACAAAATGTGTTATTTTTGGGATGTATTTAGACTTAGCCAAACTTTAAGCTTATCAATTTTCGGTTTTAGCCATTTACGGCATATTTTGTTCGAATCTAGCTTGTATTGAAATTCTGGCAGCACTGCTCACAACTCGCACTCACAAGCTTTCGCTTAGAAAGCACAGCTGGCGCTCTCTTTTCGGACCACCTTGTATAACGTCGTCATGCGCGCGATCATCGTCACGAATCTAAACTTTTCGAAGTTCGAGCGTTGACGTTGCGCAGTCGGTTTCGCTTTCGAACTGGGCTCTTGAGTGTGAAGAGAAGAGCGAGAAAGCTCATATTTGCGTGAGAATAGAGCTGGCGAACACCGATCCACAGCTCCAACCTCCACAGTCCATCCAACACCCAACACGCACGGAGCATACACACTCGTTCGCAAGGTGAATGCGAAGACACAGTAAAGTAAGCCCCTTCCACCTCCACACCTTTTGAAGAAAATAAAAAACAGAAGCAGAAACAGAAACAAGGCAAGGCATAAATTATAAAGTAAATGAGAGTTTTCTTATGATACATTGAAAGCGCGCCTGCCTGCTGCAAAGAAAGATGGCATTTTGCCTTGAAAAATCCCAACTAAAAAAGTGACGAAGCAGAGCCGAAAGCAAACAGAAAAAACATGCAGATATATTCTGCATGTGTGTTAGATAATAAGTGCAGCGAAAAGAAGCCGAAAAGGAAGTGCAAAAACAAGTGGAAAAGCGGCATAAGAAAAGTGCGGTCTAAAACTATCAGAAAATTTTGCGCGTGGAAAATTATTTTGCCTTGTCAGCTGACCCTCCCCTCGCGCGTGCTCATCCACTGGCTCTGGCTCTGCCCCTCTCTGTCGCACTTCGGGTCTTGTGATCCACATTAGCCTGCCCCACACATAGAATGGGGTGGGAGTTTACTTTAACATAGGAGCGGAGAGGTTGAATGCGATCAAAAATTCAATATGGTGGCTTTGACATTACAGCTGTACGATCCACAGTCTGCGTTTTTTTTTTACCGACTTACTTTTTCCATTTGTCAGCTGACGCCAATGACAGTAGTCTTGTGATCAACGTCAAAGCCAATTGTCAAATATTCGAACTCGAATGGAGAGAGAGAGAGAGCCGAAGAGCGCGAGAGAGTTGTCAGAGAGTTGTTCTCTCTGGTTCTCTTGCGCTCCCGCTCTCCAGATAAACGCAGCCCGCATATAAATTCATACGAAAAATGAAAATAGTATAGAAAAACCAATTTGCAGTTTGATTTTTAATTAGCGTGTGTTTTTCTTTCCGCAGTCGAGAGGTTTCACAGTTGGAGAGCCGACTCTGAGAGAGGGTATTACTTTTCGAACTTGGCCAAAGCTTTGTCACGTGAAACGAAAGCTCTGCTCGAGCATAATTTTTTGTGTGAGGGAGTTACGAGTAGAAATCGAAAATAACTGAAAAACACTTGTCGCCAAGTTGCTGATTAAGAAATACCTAAAATATTACCAGAAAATAGGCAGCAAAAAGTGTGTATTTTGGATTAAAAGATATTGATAGTGTCGGGTTACACGTCCCCTTCCCTCCCACCTCGATTTGTCAGCTGACAAAAGGGCCAGCCAGCCAGCCAGCCACCAATTAGTGATAAGAAATTTTCAGTTTTATCTTTCGTTCAGCGCTACAATGCAGTTCTCTTGCTTTCAGTTGTAGAAACAAAATCAAGCAAAATGTCCAATCTGAAATGTTTCGATGATGAGGAGCGTGAGTCCAAATATGGACGTGTCTTCGCTGTTTCGGGTCCTGGTAAGTAACCAGACATATTCCCCCTCCAGCCGATATCTAACACCCTAACCTCCAATTCTCAGTGGTCACCGCCGAGGCCATGTCCGGCTCTGCTATGTACGAGCTGGTGCGCGTCGGCTACTACGAGCTGGTGGGCGAGATCATCCGTCTGGAGGGCGACATGGCCACCATTCAGGTGTACGAGGAGACCTCTGGCGTGACTGTCGGCGATCCCGTCCTGCGCACAGGCAAGCCCCTGTCCGTTGAGCTGGGCCCCGGTATCATGGGCAGCATTTTCGACGGTATCCAGCGTCCGCTAAAGGACATCAACGAGCTGACCAACTCCATCTACATCCCCAAGGGTGTGAATGTGCCCGCCTTGTCGCGCACCACCGCCTGGGAGTTCAACCCCTTGAACGTGAAGGTCGGCTCCCACATCACTGGAGGTGATCTGTTCGGTCTGGTCCATGAGAACACTCTGGTCAAGCACAAGATGATTGTCAACCCACGCGCCAAGGGCACAGTCCGCTACATTGCCCCCTCTGGAAACTACAAGGTCGACGAAGTCGTCCTCGAGACAGAGTTCGATGGCGAGATCACCAAGCACACCATGTTGCAGGTGTGGCCCGTGCGTCAGCCACGTCCCGTCACCGAGAAGCTGCCCGCCAACCATCCCCTGCTGACCGGACAGCGTGTCCTCGACTCGCTCTTCCCCTGTGTCCAGGGCGGTACCACCGCCATTCCCGGTGCCTTCGGTTGCGGCAAGACTGTCATCTCCCAGGTGAGCTTCATTCTCAGATCTCAGTCACCAAAAGACCTGGCCTCATGTAGTTTTGTTCCTATCATTCCCGTAGGCTCTGTCCAAGTACTCCAACTCTGATGTCATCGTGTATGTCGGTTGCGGCGAGCGTGGTAACGAGATGTCTGAGGTACTGCGTGACTTCCCCGAGCTGTCCGTGGAGATCGATGGCGTTACCGAGTCCATTATGAAGCGCACCGCCCTGGTGGCCAACACCTCCAACATGCCTGTGGCTGCCCGTGAGGCCTCCATCTACACCGGTATCACCCTCTCGGAATACTTCCGTGACATGGGTTACAACGTGTCCATGATGGCTGACTCCACCTCCCGTTGGGCCGAGGCCTTGCGTGAGATTTCGGGTCGTCTGGCTGAGATGCCTGCCGATTCCGGCTACCCAGCCTACCTGGGCGCCCGTCTGGCCTCCTTCTACGAGCGTGCCGGTCGCATCAAGTGCTTGGGTAACCCCGAGCGCGAGGGTTCCGTCTCCATTGTCGGTGCTGTGTCGCCTCCTGGTGGTGACTTCTCCGATCCCGTGACATCCGCCACTCTGGGTATCGTGCAGGTGTTCTGGGGTCTGGACAAGAAGCTGGCCCAGCGCAAGCATTTCCCCTCCATCAACTGGCTCATCTCCTACTCGAAGTACATGCGTGCCCTCGATGACTTCTATGACAAGAACTTCCAGGAGTTTGTGCCCCTGCGTACCAAGGTCAAGGAGATCCTGCAGGAAGAGGAGGATCTGTCTGAAATCGTGCAGCTGGTCGGCAAGGCCTCGCTGGCCGAGACCGACAAGATCACCTTGGAGGTGGCCAAGCTGCTGAAGGACGATTTCCTGCAGCAGAACTCCTACTCGTCGTACGATCGCTTCTGCCCCTTCTACAAGACCGTCGGTATGCTGAAGAACATCATCGATTTCTACGACCTGGCCCGCCACTCTGTTGAGTCGACAGCCCAGTCCGAGAACAAGATCACCTGGAACGTTATTCGCGAGGCAATGGGCAACATCATGTACCAGCTGTCTTCCATGAAGTTCAAGGTGAGTGCAGCCTAATCGACGCTTATGAATGAAGAGATTACTCACTGATCTCTCTTCCTTTTACTCAGGACCCCGTCAAGGATGGTGAGGCCAAGATCAAGGCTGACTTTGAGCAGCTGCACGAGGACCTGCAGCAGGCCTTCAGAAATCTGGAGGACTAGAGCGTGTTGGCCTTACTTTTACAATCTAATCTTATATTTGTTATATAGTTAACTTTTAAAATGAAAGCAGTCAAAAAACGTACCGTGCGTACAGTTCCGTCAAATGAAAAACAACAAAAAAGCCTACTGAAAAAAAATTGTGAAGAAAAAGAAGAAGACCAACAATTCCATGCTGCATTCAAAAGTTTCCGAAACAAAGAAAGAAAAACAAACGAAAATCCATCAACGAAATTCCACTACTTTTCGATGCCTGCGAGAGATGCAAAACATTCCGGCCTGCGGTTGATACATCATCATCCAGAAATGCAACCCGCCAGGGGGGCACACAGGGACACGTCAACTGTAACGCCAACCACTAACGAACGTCCTTCTATGTACTTCCATTTACAACACTACAACACTGAATAAAAGACACGCACAAACATGTAGCACCGAGGTAGTACGCGGACCCGACCCCGAGCCCCACACGCACCGCACACCCACACAAAAGACATATACAAATGCATGCATAAATAGTATTATTGTTTAATGAATGGAAATTCCTGTTTATTTGTGAAAAAGTCATGTTTTCTCCCCTGTTTGTTTGTTTGTTTGTTAAATTTATGTAAATATTTAAAGTATGAAATATTAAATGTACGAATAAAGTGCAAACAACAAATACATTTAATGTAATTGCAAGCACCTCTCCTCCACTCTCTCTCTTAATCTGGTATAGACTTCGAAACTCTTCGTTTATTTATATTCAAGAAAATTGATCAAAGAAACTTCTTTAAAGCAATGTCTGATAATCCTGAACGAAACAATGCATCAGATCTACTTGTCCTTATGCAATATCTTTCACGGAACCTGATGTGACAATTCGTATAGCGCGTTTTTCTACGACATGGCTGTAGGCACCTACTGGCTGGGAAACATTGGAGTTTATTGCCCGATTTCATTGGTCTGGTGAGTCGGCGCCTACTTTATCACAATTCGACTTTATTTTTCCTTCTACAACACTCTCTTCTCCCATATTTTAAAATTTTCTATCAATGAAATATCTGCCCTTTTCATAGCAGACCTGTAGCAATAATTTCAGCTCGATAAATAACAAAATTATCCCTTCTCATAGTAAAAATTGACCTGATCAACTTGGATCCCATTCAATCGCCCCCATGGACAAAGATAAGAAACCTGCACTGCGGCTGTGTCATTGCCATCACGACAAACAGAAGCCGTGCTCCTGCAGCACAGCTGCAAAAGCAGCCCAAAAGGAAACAAGCACGAACACCTCCTTCGAGTATAGTGTTCAGGATGGGTCTGCGCAGACCCAGAAGGAATCTGAGGACTGTAAAGAGGATGATTCTAAGCAAGAGCGCAAGCGGAGCTTAACGATAGCCGATAGTACAGATTCTGACGATTCGGCCGAGGGCAATGTCGATGTACACCCAACCGAATCTGTATTTCAGAAGAAGGTGGTTTATGACACCCCCACCCCACCGGACGAGGTGAAGGAGGAGGAGCACGTAGGGCGCATCTTTGGCGTCTCCGGTCCAGTGGTCAATGCCGAGGATATGGCCGGCGCCGCCATGTACGAACTGGTTCGCGTAGGCCACAACAATCTGGTGGGCGAGATCATTCGTCTGGAGGGCGACATGGCCACCATTCAGGTGTACGAGGATACGTCCGGCGTGAGTGTCGGGGATCCTGTCTACCAGACGGGCAAACCCCTGTCCGTGGAGCTAGGCCCTGGCATTATGGGCAGCATCTTCGACGGCATTCAGCGCCCGCTGCGCACCATCCACGAGATCACCGAATCGATCTACGTGCCCAAGGGCATTGATATCCCATGTCTGCCCCGCAACATCTCTTACTCTTTTAGCCCGGAGAAGCTAAAGATCGACGACCTGATCACCGGCGGCGACATCTATGGGACGGTGCACGAGAATTGTATGATGGAGCACCGCCTGATGCTGCCGCCTCGCACTCAGGGCCGCATCAAGTGGCTGGCCAGCGAGGGCAACTACTGCGTGGAAGACGTGGTCATCGAGACGGAGTTCGAGGACGTCGTCACCAAGCATACCATGCTCCAGGTGTGGCCGGTGCGACGCAGTCGGCCCACAGTCGAGAAGTTGCCTAGCAACAGTCCCCTTCTGACAGGACAGCGTGTTCTAGACGCTTTCTTTCCCTGTGTCCAGGGCGGTACCACCGCCATTCCCGGTGCCTTTGGCTGTGGCAAGACTGTCATCTCCCAGGTGAGCTTCATTCTCAGTCATTAAAAGACCTTGCCTCATGTAGTTTCTTCCTATCATTCCCGTAGGCTCTGTCCAAGTACTCCAACTCTGATGTCATCGTGTACGTAGGTTGCGGCGAGCGCGGCAATGAGATGTCTGAGGTGCTGCGCGACTTTCCCCAGCTCGAGATCGAGATCAACGGCAGCATGGAGACCATCATGAAGCGCACCGCGCTGGTGGCCAACACTTCCAACATGCCAGTGGCTGCCCGTGAGGCCTCCATCTACACGGGCATCACCATCTCCGAGTACTTTCGGGACATGGGCTACCACGCGTCCATGATGGCTGACTCCACCTCCCGTTGGGCCGAGGCGCTGCGTGAGATCTCCGGACGTCTGGCGGAGATGCCCGCCGATGCGGGCTATCCAGCCTACTTGGGTGCCCGTCTGGCCTCCTTCTATGAGCGTGCCGGTCGCGTACAGTGTCTGGGTAGCCCCGATCGCGAAGGCTCTGTGTCCATTGTCGGCGCTGTGTCGCCTCCTGGCGGTGACTTCTCCGATCCCGTGACCTCGGCCACTCTGAGCATCGTGCAGGTGTTCTGGGGACTGGACAAGAAGCTGGCCCAGCGCAAGCACTTCCCCTCCGTCAACTGGCTGCAGTCGTACTCGAAGTACATCCGCGCCCTGGACGCATACTACGAGGAGAACAATCCCGACTTCGTGAAGCTGCGGTCCTCGGCCAAACAGATTCTGCAGGAGGAAGACGATCTGGCGGAGATCGTGCAGCTGGTTGGCAAGTCCTCGCTGAACGAGACCGACAAGATCGTCCTGGAGGTGGCCAAGATGCTGAAGGATGACTTCCTGCAGCAGAACTCCTACAGCGACTACGACGCCTTCTGTCCCTTCTACAAGACCGTCGGGATGCTCCGCAATATGATGGCCTTCTACGACGCCGCCGTCGAGGCTGTCGTCAGCACGGCCCAAGAAGAGGCTCGGGTCACGTGGAACTTGATCAGAGAGCACGGCGCCCAGATCATGTACGATTTGTCCACGATGAAGTTTCTCAATCCGAAGATGGGCCAGCAGGCCATCGAGGAGGAGATGGACATTCTGCACGAGAGCATTCAAAAGACCTTCACCCATCTACAAGAAAATATCGCCAAGTTCTATGCCTAAAAGATGGCTGATGCGAAGGAGGATGTCGTTAACGTATCTGGTTTGGTGACTTCAAAATTGTTGGTGGAAAATGTGCATCCATAAATTGCATTTCGTAGAAGTTATAAAGCGAGTTTGTTGGTTTTTTGTTCAAGATTCTTTTAAAATGAAATAATATAATCATTAATTCCTCACTTACAAAGACTTATCAAGACTTACGCACATATTTCAGGAATTTTTATCCCATAACCACTTGGATTATACTCACGATAATTATCCTTGCCATCGACTACTGACGATAATCTTCCGGTTTTTGTGGGGGGTCAAAAGTCATTTACCCATTGACGCGTTTTACCCATTAGAGCAGTTAACGGTGCAATTTTCGTTTCCCTTTTCGTCTGCCGCTTTTGCAGTTTTCCCTGAATTTTCCTGAGCAGTTAATCCGTTTTCTAGGGGCAGATTGAGGGTGATCCCCCGCCTCCGCCTCCCCCCAAAAAAGGAAGTAATAAAAAATTCCTTGATTTATAGGAAAAGTTTATTAAATGCGCTCAAACGTGGCCACGCCCCAAAACCAAAATGTTCTCCCCCACCCCCCGCAATCCGAAGAGCAAACGTCAAGGCCCAGTGGAAAGCTTTTTGCACCAGCATCCAGCATAGGGGAGAGAGAGAGTGAGAGTGAGAGAGATCGATTTCGATTCAATTAGTGGAAATTAAATGTAAGTTTATATGTATAAGTCCCTGGATCCCTCTGTCTGTGTGTGTCTGTGTGTGGGCACGGTTGGGCTTCTGTGGATTGCGATGATTACATTTCCGCACTCCACCACCCATCCCGTCCCACCCCATACCATCGCATACCATTCCATATCCTTTGCCATCATCATCCCCATCTGCCATCTAGAACCCATCTCTACACCACTACAGCAGACCAAGTCAGCCATAAAATGAGCGCCGAGAAAAAGAAGCAAGCCAAAAAATCAGAATCAGTTCAATTGCAAATTGAAAATCCCCTTACAACTTCCGTTTCCGCTATGCGAGATGGCGGGGAATGGTGGGGGGCGGGGGGGTTTGGCTGGGAGCAGCACCAGTGGGTGGGCAAAGTCAGGCATATGTGTATGTGTGTGTACGTGTGTTGTAGAGGAGACAGTGTGAGTGTGGGCGTCTGGCTGCCATGACAAACGTGGCGTATGAGCAATGCGCGCTAATTGGCTGCCATTCGATGTGCGCTCCTGTACCTCTCTCAGTTCTCTTTTTGGCTCTCTTTTCGTTACTCTTCGTTCCCTTTCGTTCCATATCGTTCGTCAGCACACTGAGCGGAACTTAAAGTCAAGGTTTAAAGGAAGAATAGATCCTTATATATAATGCAAATTATGTGATTTTATTGAAACATATGCAGAACTTGTAAATCTAAGATCTAACATTAATTATGTCTTAAATTTGTGTTTTTCTAGAAGAATTGCACTAGAAATGAGACTAAAGTTGTACCCAGTAATCACATATCTATTGCCATGATCTTTTAATACACGAAATACCGAGAGAGCTTTCGTGCGGCTCTATTTAAGATCAGAATTCTTTCAGCTAACACCTGATTTTTTTCCCAGTGCACCAGCCAAGCTCAGAACGAAGAGGAGCATCATCCTGGTCTCCACTTGCTCATCATTCTACTCCGTCCCGTCCCAGCAGCCATTTCGAGCTGAAAGCTGCTTGGGCTCAGCCTTGGGATTGCGTTTGGTGATGCCGTTCGCAATGGCAGTGCCAGAGCCAGTGCCAGAGTCAGAGTCAGAGTTTGTGGTGGATGGGTGGCCGTGGTAGTGGAATGGAATGTGAGATGGGGTTAGGGGGGGAGCTGGAGTGGGCGTGGGAGTGGGTCTTATTGCATAATTTGAAGGGGTTAAGCCATTGAGCTTTAATGCAAAATTTCAATTGAACGTCAAACAGTCAATTCGCTTTAGCGGCGATAATCGTAAAAGGATAATGGTGCTAAAAGCGCATAAAATGGCAGACAGAAAGGCAGCCGTCAGCCAGAGACCCCCTGAGGCGGCAGTGCCTCTTCCTCTGCCTCTCCATCTGCATATGTGTGTGTGTGTGTGAGTGTATATATTTTCCTCTCTGGCTCCCTGCCTCTCCTTGTGTCTTCCTCTGTCTGCTCTTGGCCTAAGTGTGCACTCAATTAAAGGATTTTTTGGTCGGAGCACAGAGAGGGGCTAACGGCCGAACAATATTGGGTTTGTTAGATAAGCTCCTGCCGAATTCTTTCTCTTTTTTTGTACTCGTTTTACACTGGGTCCCCAGACACTTTTCCCTGGGGGCTGTAAGCGGCTTTTCTAGGCGTCTTACAAAGTAAATACAAAATATTCAAATGGAAAAATTGAGCATCCACAAAATACCATAAATAAGAATGTTAGTTTAATAACCGGATCCCTAAACGGTAGTATTACCAGAGAATCCTATATTTCAAAGTGAGATTAAGAGTTGCCAATGGGTGTGGATTGTGGATATGGTTTTAAATGGGGGGTATTTCATCCTAGATACAGTTTAAGAGTCAAAGGATTCGCTTCAGTATTGATATTTTTGCTTTTGTTTACATTAATTTAATTGGTGATTTATTTTTTAGTACTTTTATTTATTTATCGTATATTATTGTTTTTTCCAGGGAGTGACAGACTCAACCCAATACTATCGGCAGGCGTATAAAAAGGTAAGGTTAAATATATTTTGTTTTATCTTATCGTTAATACATTTTTTTTTGATAGCGAACAGATTTTCGCCATGGCTAATCTATGCAATTCAATCAATGGCTTTCGATATGGCAATCACTGAATATATACCAAAGTAAATACAGATAAGAACATGCTTACTTTTTCAATTACAAAAAATTACACCATGCACCAGGCAAAAACGTTTTTTTCATAGGTAAGCCATCGTTTTTCCATATAGTTTTTGCATGCTACACCTAGTTTTGAAGAACTTTGTCAATCAGAAAAACCAGTGAGTGCAGCTATCAATCAGTGTTAAAAGCTTTGTAGCTTAGGCTTACCGCCTGGGAAATATAAAGATTTTAAATCCAAACTTAATAATTTGTTTGGTTAAGTTTTTTGCTATTATTCTATTATTTCATATCTGAATATCTAGTTACACATTTATCTGTCTATCTATCTTTTAAAGTAAAAGTTTTATTCGGGGGGATAGGTAATGGTGATGCTATCCTTAAACACTTAGACATGTGCAAGTTACACAGATCCTCATGGACTACGCTTCACCCCAGAAAGCTGTTATATCTGTTAATTTAAGGTCTCGCCCTTCGCACCCTTTGCGTCCCTTCGAGCCCATCCCATGCCGTACCGCAATCGTTGACAAGTTTTACCCCAAAGAGGAAGCGTGTGCCGGCAAAGGACATGTTGCCCTTGCTTGATATTGTTGTTCTTGGCCGCAGGGCCAAAAGGATATCATAAGCACATAAGATGATGAAGTCGGGAGCACCGGGAAAGAGCCGAGGGTGGAGGATACAAAAAGAAAAGGAGGAACAAGCATACGAACAAGCGGCATGGAAATGAGAACAGGAATGGGACTGGGACTGGGATGGGACTGGTGCTGGGACTGGGACTGGGGCTGGGGCTGGGACTGGTTCTGGGTTCCGGGACTGGTGCTACAAGAACGAGGGCAACTTAATTTGCAACTTATACGCAAAATCCTTTTGATTTTGTTATGTCGCTGCTTAAAGGTCCTTTTCTGTCGGGGGTATCCTCGGCGGCGAGTTCTTCGGAGTTCTTTGCCTGCAGTTATTTGGCAAACTTAAGCGGGAAACCTTTTTCTGCTCTGCTCTCCGCTTCTTTCTGGTTGTCCCCCTGATTTTCCACGTTTCTTGGTTTGTTTCTCTTTTCGCTTTTTCAATTTTGGCGTTTTCGGTGGGAAAAAGGGACCGCTGATCATTGTCCTTTTTTGGCCTGTACACACACAGACACAACACACGGACAGAGACATATCCAGCTTCTGTTTAAGGGAATTTAAATTAGGCCTATGCAAATGCGCCGCAGGATGCTTTTCTTCTTCGGCTGCTGTATCCGGAGATGAACCTCCCTCGAACTGAATCTGAATCTGAAGCTGTTCTGAGGCTGAGGCTGGGGCTGGGGCCCGCCTCCAACTGCTGGCCGTATTAACGCCGCATTATCGCTGCAGCTGCCACGCCCAACTCCACGACCACCCATTCGCAAAGAGACAAATATACAGACACTGAAAGAATAAACGACACCCAAGATAGCAGAATAATTATACTCGTACCCGAAATGGTTGTTTAAATCAACCAAAGATCCAACAAATCGAATCAGGCTAGTATTTTTAATAATTCTATTATCAAGAGTTTGGCAATCCTTAAATATTGAATCGAAATATGGCAGCAGAATTAAAAATCGAATGGTAAAGAAGTTCCTAGACTGTAAGTCCTTTCTAAGACCTTGTCCCAATCTGGGCTGAATATTTTACTTGGAAAAGATCTCCCAAGTGGAATGATTTTGAATAGAATTTTTAGGCTCTTATTCTTCTTCATCGATTTCGTTTTTATATCTATATCTATCTGAAAGTAGCTAAACTAAATGTTGTAGAACAGAATAAATCTAGAAAATGAGTTAGGTCCGAAGCAAATATCTAGAATGTCGAGGCGGGATTATAGTTTTACGTCCCTGGAATGCACAATATTTTTTTTAGAAAAAATCTCCAAAGTATATCTCTGGAACTATAAGTTGATCTATGCATTTTTAGCTGCTTATTCTATGATCTCTTGCTGATCTCTATAAAATGGAAGTAGCTTTTAATTGAATTATTAGACAGCTTTTATAGGCCTCTGTATGGTAATGACTACTGCCTTGAGGGGGTTCTACTTTGAGAAAAAAAATATACGGGCGGAAGCCTTAGGTGTCTAATTCTATAAAAGTTGTTCTTGAACCTGCTCGTATGTATTTAAGGATACCTCTTCGTTGTAGAAATTGCCCAAAAAACAAAGCGATTTCAAGAAAGTAGGGTGCACTCTTCATTTTCAACCCTATTTTATTCTCTCAGTGCAGACACACACACGCATACCAGCACTCACAGAAATACGCACATGAATCAGCGCGGTAATGTATGCCATGAAAAAGTTTTTGCCATAAAAATTTGCTCGCAAACTCGGAGTCGAGCAGTGAGTCCTTTGCCACTTGCTGCGGCG